CCACACACACACACACACACACACAGATTCACACTAAAACACTACAATAAAACCTCCAAACCGATAAACACCAAGACAAAAACAAAAAACAAAATCCAAGAACAGCACACCATTTCAAACGCTAATGAAGGCACTTAGCCACTGGCCTTCTAAGCAAGAACGTTAGCAAACAAATCTAACAGTTCCAAAAATACAAAACAAAAAACAACAAACAAACAAAAAAATAACAATCCAAATAATAACATGTCTATCATTTAGATTTAGAAACAGTGGTAGGATTTGTTAGTTTGTAAGTTTTGCTCATAACTTCGCAGACCCAAATGGATGAATAGGCCTATAGAAAACATACCAGGCCACAAATGGCACCAATGTTAGGGTTTTTTTTCTGTCTGTAAATTTGCGCATAGGACTTGATCAAACTCCAGCGAGGAGAACAGACTTTTGTTTTGGGTGTGCATATTACAAGTGAAATGCCGAAAACTTTCCAAATTTTGTGAGAACAATTAACAGAGATTTTAGTCAAAGGTCACGATACCGCACTAATAATGTGAAAACTGTTTCTACCTACTGCTCTATTGGTAAAAAAGAAAAAGAACGAACACGAAAAGATCAAACAAGCAACAGAATTTCTTTTTTTTTTTTTTTAAAGCCTTGAATGTGAAACTGTCAAACATGAAAACAAAACCAGTCACACAGACTGAAACAGCTCATGCAAAAATACACAAAACTAAACAAACATCTTGATCTCCGAAGAACAGAATTTTGGTCCAGCGGTTTATGGGATCAAATCTCGGTAGTCGTGCCTGGAAAGGACACGGTCATTCTGAGATAGTTATGTGAAATATTGTCCTATTGTTCCCTCCTTCTTCACCTTGGAAGAGAGCACTAGTTTCTATCTGAACATCCGCAAGCTACATAACAGCTTTCTCTATTTTGGGTTTTAGGGAGAGTTTTATGGTACTTGCAAAACAAGAAGGTCTCTTATAAATGCCTAAGGTTAGAGGTGTTACAAGAGAATAACAACCACAAAATAGAAAGAGGAGTGATAAGGATGACAGATCTTTGAAAGGAAAGAAGGAGCAAAACAATCACGAAAAAGAAGGAGGAGTGATAAGGATGATAGATCTTTGATAGGAAAGAAGGAGCAAACCAAATCAGAGCACCCACCAACCATCCAAATACTCAAGCTACATAACAGCTTTCTCTATACAGAAAGTAAATGAAATTCATGTCATCAGTTTAGTTTTCTAAAAGCGCAAGTCTAGAATTTAAAAAAATTTTGTACTGGGAGACCAGTAAACAGTCGAAATTATCTGAGACGGATGGTTATCCGTTGTCAAGGAGAAAAGTTGTGGTTGCCTTAGACAGGTGGATGTCTTGGACAGTGCCATCATAATGTAAAAAAAAACTCGGTGGGGAAGGGGAATAAAAAGTGGTCATTAGCACCGCTGATTGTCTTATACAGGTGGTCATTTGCCCTGCTGATTGTCTTATACAGGTGGTCATTTGCCCTGCTGATTGTCTTATACAGGTGGCCATTTGCACCGCTGATCGTCTTATACAGGTGGCCATTTGCCCTGCTGATCGTCTTATACAGGTGGCCATTTGCCCTGCTGATGGTCTTATACAGGTGACCATTTGCCCTGCTGATTGTCTTATACAGGTGGCCATTTGCCCTGCTGATTGTCTTATACAGGTGGCCATTTGCACCGCTGATTGTCTTATACAGGTGGTCATTTGCATAGCTGATTGTCTTATACAGGTAGCCATTTGCACTGCTGATCGTCTTATACAGGTGGCCATTTGCACCGCTGATCGTCTTATACAGGTGGCCATTTGCACCGCTGATCGTCTTATACAGGTGGCCATTTGCCCTGCTGATTGTCTTATACAGGTGACCATTTGCACCGCTGATCGTCTTATACAGGTGGCCATTTGAGCAGGTTCAACTGTACTTATCAGATGTCATGTTGGTGTTGAAGAAAACACACTGATAAACGAGCCGAAAATATAACAAAACACACACAAAAAAATAAAAAAATAATAAAATAATAAAAAATGAGCAAGTCCTGAAAAGTGAAAGGCTTGGCGGAACATAATATATCTTCAAAATGATGATGACAGCGAAGGAAAAGAAAAAAATCAAAGGCATTCCGTAGCAAAATAATCACAGGCATTTTTCCTGTTGTATAGCGACACACTCAGTGAAACACCCAGCAACACACTCAGCAGACGCATTCATAAGCATAAGTAGAAAGAAACATTGTGGACACACTGTAGGCAAAAATGAACAAGGACAAAAACAAGAAGTGACAGAAAACAAAATTCAGCTGAAGACGCCATGTTTAAAAAAAACACACAAAAAAACAACAACTTTCGTCCTTAAAAAAAAATAATAATAATAAAAAAATTATTTTTAACTCAGAGCAGCTGACACTGATGCATGCAGTCCCCACTCACACTTTCATCTTCATCTTCTCCTCCTCCTCCTCCTCCTCCCTGTTCTTCTTCTTCTTCTTCCGCCTTCCAAGAAGAGTGAATGAGATGATGCACAAGAGAATGGAATGACATGAGCACACAATTCTTCACGTACACACTAAAGATGTTACAGACAGGTTCAGTTTAGCTTTTCGTAAGTGTTTTACAGCACTTGCAACATGAATAAGTCACAAAGGTACCGAAGATTAAAGGTGTTACTAGAGAGTAACATTTTAACATATAAGGAAAAGACAGATGAGAGATAGGGATGATGGTTGTTTAATAGGAAAGAAGGAGCATACCACACCAGGGCATCCACAAACCACCCACTGTTGTTAGTCCAGGCGATGAGAATGAGAGTGTCAAGATCAAAGCACATGAATTTTCACACACATGATACTAATGTTTCCCTGCTTTGACTAAGCTTGCAGTTAGTTCATTGTCATAACTACCTACACACTTAAAACAACAGCTGAGAAACATACCAGAGCATGTTAACACGTTACAGCAAAGGGGAAAAAAAACACATCTGCCTACAGATTGAGACGCAGGCAATTTTGAATCCCACTCAAAGAACGTTTCTTTTTTGTCCTGTTATCTTTTGTTCATGAGAGAATTTGTCACTATTTTCTGAGTTACTTTCTGTGTCCTTCGTACATGCAGCTTTCAACAGAGAATTTGTTATTACGTCTGTTAGCAAAGACACACCATGAGAGGCACAACATCCACTGTGTCAGAAAATATGACAAAAATGTGGAAGGTGCTACGTATCATACAGACACTTTCCTGAATCATGATTTTGTAGGCCTAATATGAAAATAATAATAATAATAATAAATAATAATGATAATAATAATAATGACAGTAACTATAATTATAATATTGAAACTAATAATGATAATGTAGATCATATTCATAGTGCCCACTCCCATGAGCACACAGATTTACGCGTTTTCCACACCCAGGGGTCTGTGTGGCCGAGTGGCTTGACTCACAAATAATGCTTAGCAAGTGTCAGTGACACAGGATCCAGAAGGGTGGTCACTGGGCTGTGCCCTTGAGCAAGATACAATAACCCAAGCTAAAAAAAACAGGCACTCCACACAGGGGACCAGCAATGGTATGTTTGTAAAATTGTCTGCACAGGTGTCATATTGTGCATTAGGTAGGCCTATTCTTTGTATGTTTATTCTTGTGTTTGAATATGTATTTATGTATGTATGTAAGTAAGCCAATGTTATACAAATTTCCCCTTGAAATTTATAATTTATAGTTATTAATTTATCCAACTACAAATTCATGAATGAACAATAACTGTGTAAAAAGTAAAAATTATAAACACTAGTAAAATTCCCTCAAGAAAGCTGCAGCTATGTTGGGCAGAAAGTAGCACTGCAGTCTACATATATATATGTAGAAACTCTAACGGCAAAAAAATTACTAGAAGGAAATAGAAACAGAGGTAGATCGGGAACATCTTACTCAAGGAACTTGAACAGATGCGTGACAGGAAAAGGCAAGGACAATATCTTCGTTTGTTCTTATTTTTTAAAGAGAATCTGAGCAGACAAATGACTTACAAACCATGAATGTTGATGTCTGTTTTATATCTTACACTTGCAAAAGAAGACACACACACAGACACTTTTGTAAAATAAGATTCAGCAAGCCAACATTTTATGCAGATGATGATGAAGTGCACTGACAAAATGAGTTACTTCTCTGATTTTAGCCCTGTGGACAAAGATACTTCAAATCTAAAGGTTGAATTTGTACAATTTACCCGTAAAAGTAAAGTTGTACCCGCATCCAATCCGGACATTGAGGATGGCCTTGTTAGTGAGACAATCTCCATGGCCTTCGGCATATTGTGGTAGGGTGGCCAGTTTCTTTCCACGGCGCCTTTACTTCCCCAACTCGAAGTCAGGTACCCATTACTGCTGGGTGGGCAGGAGGGGGTGAAAATTTACCGGTATGGAATGATAACAGACATCTTAAACTTAAAGAAAAGGGCACCAGTCGAAGATCTACAAATTTTACACTTGTGCATGCCTGTGTCAGTTTTCCGATTCTATCTCCAGTCAACGATTGCGAGAAATAATTTGCCACGGATTGCGAGAAATAACTCATTTTGTCAGTACAACTCACAAATTTTATCCCTCTATCACAAAAGAGGGAGAAACTTTCACTACTGTTACATTTTTTAATTTTTAATTTTTTTTTCTAGCACAACACACACCCACATGCTTCAGTGCACACACACACATACACCCACCTTGTGAAGATGGAAAATACATAGAGTGTCTTTGAAGGGCGACACGGAGATCTTGTGTATCATGCTGAGAGGTATTCTGTACTTGAGGGCCAAGGTCTTAGGGTCCAACACCAGCAGGGCTTGTGTGCTCAGCACTAGCAGTTTGTTCACCATCTGAGGGATGTGTGTATGTGGGGGGGGGGGGGGGGGAGGGGAGGAGAAATGGGCAATTAGGTGAAAAGTGACATGCGGTAAAGATAATAAAAATAATAATAATAATAATAATAATAATAATTATAATAATAATTTAATAATAATAATAATAGTAATAGATTGCATTTACATATCGCTCCATCCCATACGAGTATAAGCTCTGAGCTTTTTACATTAATCACATGATCACTGAAAAGTAATTATTCATTCACACAGGATAAAATATTTCACAGTAATAAGAAAAGCCAGTACAACCACATAAAGAAGAACCCTCACAACCATACATTAATTGTATACACACGTATGGACAGCAGTAAAAACAAAACATGTCAGCACTTAGTAACACACTACAGCTATAGATAAGATATAATAAGATAAGATTTTATTGATCTCCACAGAGAGAAATGTACTCTTTTATGGTAACTACACACACACATACACACATACACACGCACACACACACACACACACACACACACACACACACACACACACACACACACACACACTCACTCATACGATCTCTTTCTTTCACACACACATACATTTACATACCCCGACGCACACACATCAATAGTCATTGGATGGACGGACAAAATCTTATGTTATTCTCGGACACATGATCGTAACTAAATAGCTCCTATTGATGAGAGATAGACAGACAAAAAGAGAGAGTGGAGAGAAAGAAAAAGATACAAAAAGAGAGAAAGAAAGGGAGAGAGAGAGAGAGAAAGAAATAAACAGACAGACAGACAGACAGACAGACAGACAGACAGACAGACAGACAGAAAGACAGAAAGACAGACAGAAAGACCGACAGACAGAGAAGAGGTGTGTAAGGTTCAAAGAAATTAACAGCCAATACAACAAACAAAGAAACATGGACACAAACAAACACATAAGCAGTAGTTTTAACCTTTCCGTCAGCCCGGTTGACTTTATTGACAGCGTCTGCGAAAACCACGGAGATGTCCTGCGTAGATTTGTACAGCTTCTGCCACTTAATGTTGGACCGGATGTCCACATAGTCTCCGCGGAATGGAACTCCAACACTGTGGACAACGTTTAAAAAAAAAAAGTTTTAGTAAAAGTTTTACGCCACTGACAAAACAAATGATTAAGTTTGAGTAAAGAGAAGCACATCGACACAAAAGACGGCTGAAGACACCTCAAAACTCAGCAAAAGTAGAAACAATTGTACAGAACAGTAAGGACTGATTAAAAAAGAAATTTTCAATAATCTCGCTCTCGCACAGGTGAGTATACTAAAATAAAGTAATTACAGGAGATATTTTGATGATCAGGGGAAATAACACAATATATCAGAAAAGATTCACCAACAAATAATCAGGGGCTCAGACAACAAACAAAAAATCAGGGACATATTATAATCAGAGGAGAGAGCTGAAGTGCCTGATCGAGCACATTTCTTGTGTAACCTTTCAAACTAATACGCATGGTACTATCAACCATAAGAAACAGGACTTTAAGATAAAATGTAGGCTTAGAAACACTTGTTACTTCCATTATGTAATTTGTAATTGCAAAAAACTCTTCAAAAGGAAAACTTAAACCCAATGATCAAATACTAAATATAATGACGTCATTTGTAAAAAGAATCTCCATCACAGTAAAATTTTTTAACAAATTACAAGCTTTTAGACCTTTGAAAAAAATGGCAAACTTTGCAGAAAAAGTTTTTTCCTCAGAGAGAAACACTAATAATGGTCCTATATATGCTACATTAGTCCAAACAGTAGAGTTGCAATACTTAATACCCCCTCCCCCTTCACACACAGTTAGGGGCACACACACACCACACAAACAAATACAAACACATGTGTGTACACACATAAGTATACGTGTACACACATATCACACACGCCAGAGTACATACATTAAAAAAATATTATTGCAATTTGCAAAATAGTGCTGAAAACCAAACAGCAAACACACACACAAACACACACACTAACACACACGGCTAGAGAAAATACTGGGTGACATACATTGTATGAGCAAATCAAACAGGGGATATCTTGTTAAAAATAAGTACAGGATCATTTAGTCATTGCTTTCACAGCCTTAAAATAATCCCAGCTGGACCGATTGAACAGGACATTTAAAAAAGCAGCATTTAGCTCAGTCCAAACTTTACATAGAAAAGAATAAAGAAAGAAGGAAGGTGACAGGGAAAAGAAAGGAAGACAGGATGAAGCAGAAAGAAAAAATGAAAAAAGAAAAAAAGGATAAAAAGGTAAGACAGAAAAAAAAGAACAAAAGTAGATGACAGAAAAAAATGAAGGAAAAAGAAAAGGAGAAAGAAAAAAGACCTCCTTGCACAAACTCTTGTAATTTTGTAATGCCCTTAATTGACTTCCATGTGTAAACTCTTATCCTGCCCGTTGACCTCCATGTGTAAATTCTTGTCCTGCCCTTTGACCTCCATGTGTAAACTCTTGTCCTGCCCTTTGACCTCCATGTATAAACTCTTGTGCTGCCCTTTGACCTCCATGTGTAAACTCTTGTGCTGCCCTTTGACCTCCATGTGTAAACTCCTGTCCTACCCTTTGACCTCCATGTGTAAACTCTTGTCCTGCCCTTTGACTTCCATGAGTAAACTCTTGTCCTGCCCTTTGACCTCCATGAGTAAACTCTTGTCCTGCCCTTTGACCTCCATGAGTAAACTCTTGTCCTGCCCTTTGACCTCCATGAGTAAACTCTTGTGCTGCCCTTTGACCTCCATGAGTAAACTCTTGTGCTGCCCTTTGACCTCCATGAGTAAACTCTTGTCCTACCCTTTGACCTCCATGTGTAAAGTCTTGTCCTACCCTTTGACCTCATTGTGTAAACTCTTATCCTACCGTTTGACTTCCATGAGTAAACTCTTGTCCTATCCCGTTTAAACTGCGACCCTCTGTGTTAAATCCTGTCCTGCCCTTTGACCTCTGACCCTTTCCTCAGCAACCTAGACAGTCATAGTCAATCTATTGTCCTTAAGACTTATAGTACATGTATTGTAATATCCAAATTTGTGTACTCCTGGTGTAATTCTGGTTCGCCATAGAGTCAACCATTTGACTATTTGGAACCGAATGAAGGGCAAGGAGGGAATAGTTGCACGATCACTCGATATATATAGCGTGACTTGTGATTTGCGCCTTCAATTGCGCGTCCGCAGTGCGCACCAGAGAAACGAAGTAAAAAAAAAAAATTAGAGCAAAGAGTGGCGGCCATGACAGTTGACAGTCAAGAATTTGCCTCCACTGAAGTATGTGTATCAGAACAAATATAGAGAGCTATTATTATTATGTTAGTGTGCTGGTGCAGTGTACGCGCGTGTGTGTATGAATGTGTGTGTTTATGAGTGTGAGTGTGTGTGAGTCTGCTTGTGTGTGTGTCTGTGTGTGAGTCTGCTTGTGTGTGTGTGTGTGTGTGTGTGTGTGTATGTGTGTGTGTGAGTGAGTCTGCTTGCGTGTGTGTGAGTGAGTGTGTGTGACTATGTGCATGTACACTTGTACTTTTGTGTTTGTGTGAGTGTGTCTGTGTGTGTGTGTGTGTGGTAGCGCCTCTGTGTGCACATGTGAGAAGTGTGTGTGTGTGTGCGTGCTTGTATGAGTGTGTGGGTGTGCGTGCGCGAGTGTGTGAACACAAGTGTGTAGAAATAGAAAGACAGCAGATCAGACTCAGACCTTCCCCTCAGTGAGCAGCCTCACCCCATGGACCAGAGCAGAAACAGGCTGAAATGATGATGACACCATAATATATCTTCACTCAGGTCATTTTCAAAGGGGAGCATTTCGTTCAATGCCAAGATAAACGAAGACAGGGAAAACACACACAGACACACACACACAGACACAGACACACACATACAGACACGGACACATACACACACACACACACACATACACACACACACACACACACTTAAAACTGAAATTTAAAGCACACAGTTCTCATTTAGAATAGAACTACAACAAAAGATCACCATCTTCAATAATAATATTCAATCGGCACAACAAATAAATGATCCCACCCCAAAAACACAAAAACAAACATAAAAAATACCTTACCTCCAACAAAACCCCAACAAAAAAATACAAAATGACAACAACAACAATAACAACAGCAACAACAGCAACAGCAACAGCAACAGCAACAGCAACAGCAACAACAACAGCAACAACAACAACAACAGCAACAACAGCAACAGCAACAGCAACAGCAACAGCAACAACACACCCACCTGGCTGGGTAGGTCTCCTTTTTCCCCTTGAACAGGTTGCTAGCCACCATCTTCTCCTTCAGCCTGTACTTGGTCGCCTCGTCCAGACGGCCCCTGTACTTGGCGCACTGGGAAACACACACGGAGAAACAACGTCTTTTATGTTTTAGCAAGAGTTTTACTCATAAGACGCATGCTACGTATCCCATGGACAGCTAGAAAAACAAAGGAAAAAGTCTCGGTTGAAGCAAATTGCAGAAGACAGCTTATGGCGAATATAAGAAAGCGACAGGCAAATTTCTTCGGACACACAAGGCGGAAAGAAGCAATGGAGAATATAGTAACAACAGGCAAGTTTGATGGAAAGAGAGGCAGAGGCAGACAGAGGGAAAAGATACTGGACAAGACGACAACATGGCTAGGAGCAGCAAGAACAACAGACACCATTGCTGCAACGCAAGACAGAGTGAAGAGGAGGTCCATGATCGCCCACGCCAGTCGGCAAGGCACCAGATGATTATGAAGAGTTTTATGGCACTTGCAACACACAAAGGTCATATAAGTGCCGAAGATTAGAGATGTTACAAGAGAGTAACAAACACAACAAAAAGGAGGAGTGATTATGAAGATAGATGTTTGATTGATAGGGAAAAAGGAGCAAACCACACCAGAGCACCCGCCAACCACCCACCAACAGCTTTACGTCCACATCGACACTGTTTAGATCATTTGGGAGGAGTTAGGTGAGTGTAAGACACACACACCCTCCACCGATGGAACTGTTTCCTGAGCTCTACTCCTCTTCCCTCTCCTCACCCCCCTCCATTCTCTCTCTCTCTCTCTCTCTCTCTCTCTCTCTCTCACACACACACACACACACACACACACACACACACATAACACACACATAGCACATACACACACATACACATACATCACACACACACACACACACACACACACACACACACAAACACACACACACAACACATACACACACACACACACACACACATACACACACACTCACCCTCCACCGATGGAACAGTCTCCTCAGCTCATCTGAGGTAGTCCGGAGTCTGTTGGGAGGCTTGGGCCAGTCTTGGCTGATGGGCGAAGTGGATGGGAGGCTGTCTCGTAGCTTTAGCAGGTACTGACGTTTCTGGGAAAGAGAGAACGTGGTCGTCATTTTAGACTGGAGAGAGAGAGAGAGAGAGAGAGAGAGAGAGAGAGAGAGAGAGAAGAGAGAGAGAGAGAGAAAAGAAAGAAAAAAAGAGAGAGAGAAAAAAAGAAAGAAAAAAGAGAGACAGAGAGAAAGAGAGAGAGACAGAAAGAGAGAGAGAGAGAGAGAGAGAGAGAGAGAGAGAGGGGGGGGAGAAAGAGAGAGAGAGAGAGAGAATATTAATGCTTAGATCAAGAGGAGGAGCTGAGGGGGGAGTAGAAGACATAATTATAGACTTCACTTATATTATTCCCAGACGGGGCACTGTCTACCCACCGCTCTCTGTTCTCTAATAAATACCGCAACGCAAGTTGGCATCGTGGGCGTGAAAGCAAATAAGGGCCAACGACTAGTCTTGCTTTTATTGTAGAGTGTAT